TTTTCCCCTTCTTGCTAGGGTTTAACTATGATAAGCATATATTTATTTATTTTTTTCTTAAATCCTTCTTCATATTCTCATGGAGTTCATTGGGGTGTATGTGTGTTTAATTACTTTTGTAATAACTGAGGCATTATTTTTCCTAGTTTCTTCACCTCCCTCTTTCTTTTCCTTATCACACTCCAGTGGTACAGATTATCTTTTGCTGTAGTTTCTTGGCTCTTTGATTCTCAGTTCTGTTCCTTCTCCCCCTTTTTCTTTCTATATTTCAGTTGGAAAAGTGGTATGTACTTTTCTTTTTCAAGATTCTTTCCTCTGCTGTTTCTAGTTTGCTGGTAATCTTATTGATTATCATTCTCATTGGTTAGCATTCTTTTTCTCTGATGTTGTGTTCTTTATTTCTTTAAAAAAATTTTTTATTTAAAAAATTATTTTTTAAGAGATGGGGTTTTGCAGTGTATTCCAGGCTGGACTCAAACTCCTGAACTCAAGCTATATTCCTGCCTTATCCTCCTGAGTAGCTGGGATTATAGGTGTGGGCCACTGTGGCTGACTTTTTTTTTTTTTTTTAATGTTATGTAAATTTTACCTCAATTTAATGAGAAGTAAGTTGTGAGGATGGGACAAATTCATGAGCGGGAAGAGTTTAGAACAGTGCTTGGGACATAGTGAGCAGGCTCTAAATCTTCCTGGTTATTGTACTTTTGCTTCATTATTGAATGGTCTGTCACTGGCCCTCCTTGTCCTTGAGCTAACTAGACCCTTGTGGCATATTCCTGATCCCCACCAGCCTGGCCGCCCTGCAGCTCTTCCTGCCTCTCTTACTGGTGGACCCTGACAGCCTATACTCCCACTCCCCTGGATGGCTCCAGACAGTGATGGCCAGGAGCTAGGAGTGACTCTGCATGGGCAAGAACTGACTGTTTTTTATTTTTTGCATTTCCATTTGTCTCATTTTTATATTTTCCGTCTCTTTTCTGAAATTCCATATCTATTCATGCATATTTTCTACGATTTCCTTGATATCCTTTAAAATGTTAGGTTGTTTTTAAGTCTTTGTCTGATAATTCCAAAATATAGGCCCTCTCTATGTCTTGTTCTGTTGACTGCCTTATCTTTTGAATATAGGTCATTTGTTCTTGTATGTAAGAGAGAATTTTTTATTGGATGTCATTTGTTTTTTTCTATATAAACAGTAAAGACTGAGGTAAATTTTTTATGCTTAATAACGAGCATGCTTCTTTCAGTTTGTTAATAGGCTTCATTTTTAGGGGGCAGAATATTGGTTGAATCAGTCTATTCTGTATTTGAGATGGGCTTGTGTTGCTTTCTATTAATAGTTATATCTTTAGTGCTCCAAAGATTCCGATTCCCTCAGCAATTGGTTGTTGTTACTTGTGCTTATTGGGAGGCCTAGAGTATAAAAGGGTTTTCCTCAGTGTTTCTGCTTCCATTTTAGCTTTTAGCAGGCCCTGTTCCCCTGTACCACACGATGTTCCATTTTCATGCATCTAGTACTTGTCCCCATTTATAAAAGTTATAATTTTATAGATTATCTGTTTTTTAAAATTATTGTCAGGGTAGAAACAATATTCTCTTGTCATTTTTTGTGTTATAAATGAAAGTAGAGCTTTCCCAGTTATAGTCTGATTTAAATCTGCTCTGAATGATTTTACTTTTTTAGCTGTCTCACTTGAAGCTAGTTGCTTAATGTCTGATGGCCTAAGTTTCCTTTTCTGGGAAGTTGAATAATAATACAAACCTCAAGAATACATATCTCATGAAGAGTTATATATTTTATACCAAGCACAAGACTTGATCGTAGGTCTTTAATACATGATAGGTGATGTTGTAAATGTTGATGTGTTAAAAAAGAAATATTGTCTGGAGTAATGAAGAGGAAATCTTGTTTTGACCCCAGAATTTTCATAGTCCTTTAAATTCTTATTCATAAAAAGTTAAGAGTAAAATAAAAAATGAAGCAGGCAATATCATGTTATCTAGAGTCTTGCTAACCAGATATTTTTTACTGTTACTTTGTACTTTATATGCATGAAGTATATTTTTATTGTTACTTTATACTTTGCATATAGGGATGGTCCATTATATGAATTTCAGAAGTTTGGTTTGTCAGTTGAAGAGTGACAAGGTTTATAAATTTGGAAAAGAGAGCTTTATTTCTCATAAAGGGTTGCAGCCTATTGGGTGGACATTCTGACAGGCTGGGAAGCAGAGCTTCTGGCCAGAGCTGGAAACACATATTTCGAGGGGACAGTGCAGGGAATAGGAATTTATGCTGAGTGGGGTGGTCAAACACAGGTAATTAACAAGCTGTGGGAAGAGTCATGAATATTTATGAAAGGAGAAGCATGCATATGCTCAATTAAACTTTTTGCTACTTCATGGGATCCATGTTCAGAAAATGGCAGTGTTAGCATGATCTCAGGGTGGAATTTTTGGCCCCCTGATGTCAAAAGATGAAGCAGAGGACATAAAAACCTTCACTATACATCCTCTGTAGACTAGACAGACCCACTCCATGGATGGTGGGTGGTCTCTTACCAGGAAGGAATGTTGGCCAGTTGTAATATGGAAAATGGAAAAAGGGAAGAGAGTAGCATTAGGTGGTGGATTGAAACCAGTGGTGGAGCAGGACTTTTCAAAAGGCTGGTTTGGTTTAATCCTTTGTGAAGAAAGCCTAATAAGCCTAATGAGGCAGGGGATATAATGAGATGTGTCTGACCTCTATCCCGTCATGGCCAGGAACTTGAATTTTAAGGTTTCTCTGGGGTCCCCTTGGCCAAGAGGAGCTCTGTTCAGTGTGTATGTATGGGGGGGGTGTAGTTTAGGATTTTATTTTTATTTCTTGGGTTGAAGAATTTAGAAGCCATGTTTACTTGACATACATGATGTACCTACAGTAAAAGTAGAACAACTTAAAATGTAAGGGTTAAAAATTCTTTTAACCTTTTCTTTTTCCTGTTTAAAAGATGATTGTGGTATATTTGGTTTTCATTGTATCATTGCTTAGCAGACTTTATGCTATGAGTTTAGCAAACAACTTTTCTTACATATGTCGTACAAGAAATATCAAGGTTATGCAATTTTGTCTTCTTTTAACCTTTTACCCATCATTAGTTTATTTATATTTTAAAAATATTGAAATAGTATGTGAAAATCTTTTAAAAAATATATATCTATTTAAAAAAGTATATATTATTATTCTCAGTTTGAACATGAATTTCAAAAATTTTTTTCCTCCAGGAGGAATATTTCACATATATGAAACAAAGACTTTAGTTATTGCCTTCCAAATTTTCAGCAAGAATGTAAGTGGATATTTTGACACTTTGATGCTTGGAGTTTATTTTCCTCTTTAGAAAGGAATTTATAAGAAATCAGTAATTTTAATCCATATTGAATTTTTACTTAGTCAGATTTCCTCCTCAGATGGCTAGGTCATTTAAACCTATAAGTGCACTGCAGACAAATGTATCCATCCCAGAACTATCTAGAAATTTTTGCCCGTTTGACCAAACTCTGATAATATGACTCTGAAAGTCTCAGTTTGTCAGCTCCCACTTTCTTAATGTTGTAATAAGATGAAAAAAACAAAATGAAAACACCAAGAACATTACATTTTTTAATTTTTAAAAAATATGTAATATAAAATTTACCATTTTAACTATTTTTAAGCATAGAGTTCAGTGACATTAAGTACGTTCACACTGTTGTGCAACCATTAGAATCATCTTTAGAACTTTTTCATCTTTGAAGCTGAAACTCGTTAAACACTAATACCACCACCTCCTCAAGCCACTGGAAATCACTGATCTAATTTCTGTTTCTGAGTGTGAGAAAGGAGAATTAAAGTTTTAAGGAAATATAGATATTTAAACTCAAATTTGAACTGCCCTCAGTTTAGAGAAATTATAGATTTTGAAGGATGAAATAGAGAAGATGAAGTCCCAGTTTGGAAAGAGAATCACAAATTTTATTGCGTGCAAAATAAAAATTTGAATTTTTGGTTGTCGCTTTTGGAAGCAAGTCTCCTTGTAAGTGTAGTACTTTCAGGAGGATGTGATTGTGATAAAAGGGATATATAACAAATAGCATATCCAACATTTTATAGACAAATCTGAGTCCCAGAACTATCTTGAATTTTCTGCGAGTTGGCTAGGTTCTGGATAACATGATGTTACCTGGCTCTGTCAAAGTATATTTAGCTCTCTTTCTTGAAATGGAGAAATCAGTGTTTAGGCCTTCATCAATGATACACATGTTGAGTTCTTCAAAATAATAAAAATCTGTGAAAGAAAGCATTTAAAACTACTTGATCAGTATTAATTAGAGTAGTTGGTGTTTAACTCTGCTCTTTAGTAGATACAGCGTTGAAAAAAACTGTCAATTGTATTTTGTACTGTGTATCCCTTGCAGTGAAATTCTCTGTTTGAAAAAATGTAAAATAGACAAAAAAAAAAAAAATTAAAAAGAAAGATCCAAAAATTGTCTGAGGGTTTTTGGAAAACACAATGTTTTTGAATTATAATCCTCATATTTGAGCTGGTTTCTGATTACAGATTCTTGTCCCCAAGCAAATTTCTTTGCTGACTCCTTTTTTGTGTGTTTATTTTTTATTCTCTTTATTTAATACTTTCCAGAGTTTCTACTTTCACTTTATTTCTGGCTTCTATGTCTTTCTTCCTATTGTACTGGTTTAGCAATACATTTTAAAAATATGTTTTTAGTACTTTATTCATTATTTTGGTTGTTGTAGTTAGGATTGTTGTTCAGTATATGTAGCCTGCAATGGAATGGAAATTTTCATGCATTTTTCCCCCCCAAATCTTACAATTTATTAACCTAGATCCCCTGGATCTATCCCCTCCCCTATTTTGTTCTTACAGCCTGTATAGTAAGAAATTTTCATAAAGCTGATCAAGAAATTAATATTAAAGTAATTATTATATTTTTAAAATACATGTATATTGATTTTATAGCTACTTGAAGGAAATTTTGCCAAAGAAGTCAGCCATGAAATGGATGGACTTATTTTTCAACCTACTGGAGTAAGTTCATTTGTCTCTGTGTGTGTGTGTGTGTGTCTGTATGTATATATACATATATACATGTGTGTGTATATCTATATATACTCATGTATATATAAAGCACATTTGCCTCAGACATATTTACTTAGAATTGATTGTGCTTTTCCTTAAAACAAATTGTTCATTATGAAAGATTTTATTTATATCTAAATATATAATACTAAAATGAACACCTATTTGCTTTTCACTCAGCTTAAGAAATAAGCATTGTTGGTCATTAATTTTCAAGGAAGTTAGTCTTTTAATATAATTTACTTACAATTTGTGCTACATGAATGTGACTTTGTTTCTTTACTAGAAATTTACCAATAATATTATATAAACGGCTCATTTCCTCTTTTAGCCTGGTATACCTTTAAGTATTAATTTCTCTAAAACTTCATTTTGCAGTAGGTAAGTAAAATTCAAAGAGTTGTCAATACTTGAAGAAAAATAGAATTTTGGAATATTTATTCCATGTTGAATTTCTGAAATGCACTGAAGAACTTTCACCAACTTAATTGTCATATCATATATTTGGAGTTAGTTGTGTTTTACCCAATAGCAGGTTTTTTCATCCTCAGCAGTATTGATGTGTTGAACTAGATAATTCTTTTCTGTAGGAGCTGTCCTGTGCATGGTAGGATATTGAGCAGCATCCTTGGTCTCTACTCACTAGATAGCAGTAGGACCCCTCCTTCCAGTTGTGACAAACAAAAATATACTCAGACATTGCTTAATTTCTTTCCTTTGTAGAGCAAAATTGCCCTTACTTGATAACCATTGTTCGGTAGGGCAGTGTTTTTGAACATGGGGCCTATGGAGGAGGATTTGGACCACCCAGTATATTGTATGTTATAAATACAATTCACCCCAGACCTACTGATTAGAAACTCTGGGGATGAGGTCCAACAGTTTGTGTTTTAACAAGCTCTGTAAGTGATTCTGTTGCATATTCAAGTATGAGAACCACTTATATACACTATAGGAAAGAGCTGTATTTCATGTTCCATTTTTAGAAATTAGGATATAAGCTAGTTGAGAAGTTACAGATACCAAACTGGGTACCTGGAGGAAAGGGAAGGGAACTAATACTTTGAATACTATGTATTAAACACTATATAGATTGAGTATCTCTAACCTGAAAATCCAAAATCTGGAATGCTCTAAAATCTAAAACTTTTGAGTACTGACATGATGCTCAAAGGAAATGTTTATGGAGCATTTTAGATTTTCAGATTAGGGCTGCTCCACTGGTAAGTATATATAATGCAAGTATTATAAACTCTGAAAAAAATTGAGTCTAAAAACACTTTTCAGCCCCAGCCATTGAATAAGAGATATTTAGACTGTATTACATATTCTTTACATGTGTAATAAAACTCTGCTGTAATGTATGTAAATTTAGATAGAATGTGATATGTGATTGGCTTCTGTCTGCCTTCCAGCCTCTCTTGCTAAACAGAAAAAAAATATCTTCTGTGGTCGAGGGAGGAGGAGATGGAGGAGAGCTAGAGGCTGTGCACAGGAATATGAAGAAAATACTCGTAGAAGATGAAAGTTAGATCTTTGAATTCTAGTATTTTCCAGGCCCTATCTCCCTAGATTGAAAAAAGTGAAATCTAGATATAACAGTAAATTCAGAAAATTTTAGTGTGTGAAACTTATGATTTAGTCCTGTACGTATATGAGATTTTGGTATAGGTAAGAAAAATGGCCCATCCAATAACTATATAACTATTGGCTCATTCAATAACTATACTGGATGTTTAGTATAGTTAATTTGTTACTCTGTTCCCATTCTAGCAACCACAGTTTTTATTACAATGACTTTGTAATTGATATATGGTAAGGCAAGTTTCCCTGTTTGCCAGGATTTTCTTAATATTTGTGGACGTTTGGTTAAACATAAAAGTTTCAGAATCAGTTTGTCATGTTACCAAAAAATTCTTATTAGGAGTTTAATTGCAATGGCTTTGAATTTAGATTAATTTGGAGAAAATTGATGTGCTTACAGTGTTAAATCATCTTCTCAATTAATGTTATGGCTTTTTTCAGGTCTTATTCTGTTTTCTAATTGAATTTATGCTTTTTTAAATTGTTAGACCAATTTCTAGATAGTTATTCATTATCTGCTTTTATAGTAAATGACTTATTTTCTTTTTTTGTTGCTACATCTAATGCACTGCCACGCTATAGATTTATTTCATTGATTCAGCAGTCTTGCTGAATATTCTTAGTTCTAGTAATTGTCTAATTTTATATATTGGCTAAGACCTTAAGTACTGAATTAAATATTAGTTCTAATTGGACAGAGGAGTGGGAGACATTTATACTTTGTTCTCATCCTTAAAGGGAAGGTTGCTAAATTTCCTTCATTAAGTATATTGTGGTAGATTTCTGTTAGATAACCTTTATTGTGTTAAGAAATTTTTGTTTCTATTTTTCCAAAAGTTTTTTTCTTTAATCATATATAGGTTTTGAACATTAACACCTTTTAAGGCATTGCTTTTAAGGTATTAATGCCTCTTCTGTATGTGTTGAGATTATTGTGCCCTTTTCTTTCCTGTACCATTCATGTGTTAAATTACATTGATTTTCTCATGTTGACCCATCCTTGTATTCCCAGGGTAAATGCTACTTGGTCATGATATATATAATTTTTTAAGTATACCTTCGGATCTGGGTGTAATAGTTTCTTAAGGATTTCTGCCACCTTATTTCTTATAACTTATTTATCCCTTTTGTGTATATTTAATGAAGGTAATATTTCTTGTGGAAAAAATTATATAAGTTGCAAATTATACATCATAATGCATGTTCATGATTTTAAAAGTCAATTAAAAGAGTTGTTTATACAGAAAAATAGAGCAGTCTCTTTTCTACCATTCCCTATACCCAAAGTATCGCTCCAAGGAGGCAGTTATTTTCTGTTGTTTTAGTTGTTTTTTTATTTCCACATTTCTAAGAAAGCTATGCTGCTCTTAGTTTTCTATTTTATACATGATCCACTTCCTTTCTACTAAGAAAGAATAGGATTAAAACCTCTAATTTCACCAATATCTCCTACCCCCTTTCCTCCTTCTTTCATCCCATTATAAATAGATCACGTGTTTGGTCTAATGACTATTTAGTATTTATATTTTTATGGTGATATAAATTTTGTTCACCTCTGAGTCAGGTAGTATACTACTATGTTTTCTTTCTTAGAAAGTTTTTTTCACTTAGAGTTAGGAATATTTTCATTATTTATGATTATCCATATTTCTTCCCTTAAACTCTCCAAAAGAAGGGCTAAATTTTTTTTTCCCAGTGCATTCAAATATATAAGGTCCAGTTTTTACTTGAAGGCATTCCTTCTGAAACCCTCTGTTCTCTAGTCCTGCTGTGTAGCTTTTTCTTCTTGGAATTTCTTTTTATTTTCATCCTGGAAATCCCGTTTACCTTTCTTCTCTGATAGATCTCCTACTTCTTGGACTTTGTTTTCTCTTTGCTTGGTTTGAGTGATCTTGAAAACCTAATGCTTTACAAATATTTTTGTTCTTATGGGGCTTTTGTTTCAACTTTAAACTGAAGAGATTATTCTTAGTAGTCTGTCTAATTTGCTCATTACCAGCTACAATTTTATGACTTTGACTTGGCCTTAAATTATTTATTTATAGTGTTTGCATAGTTTTGTGCAACTTGGCGTAGTCTTACCTTCATTGTATGTACTAGAGAGTTGAGGAAAAGGTGTAATGAATTTTGTAACTCAAGATTGCTAGCCTGAATGTCAGAAAGTTCCAGAGGAAAGATCTACTCTTAGTTTACATATTCAATTTTGTATTTTTAAAATCTTTAATAAGCCATAATTGATAGCAATATTAAATAGTTGAACTGAAAAGAAGAAAAGGTATTGTAGTTTTACTCAAACTCTTTATTTGTATGAAGCCTTCTAAGATACTGGCTTTCTCTGCTTCTTCCTTCTTTTGGATGGCTATTGTTAATACTCTTCCTCTAAGGTATGTCTATCTCCCTCTTTGTAGAGACATTTATTTTTATGGCTATAGCTGTTGTGGACTCCTAAGTCAACTTTTAACTTATGCCTTTTATTTTGCCTCTAGTACTCTATTTCTTCCTTCATGTTACACATTTCTACTAGATATAAAATTTTAGACAGTCACTAAAGTCTAAGTGGCTCATCATCATTTTGTCTTTTTGGGTTATCCTTGCTATCTATTCTTTTTTTGGAGACAGGATCTTGTTCTGTTGCCTGGGCTAGAGTGTAGTGTGGCGTGATGATAGCTCACTGCAACCCAAAACTCCTGGGCTTAAGCTATCCTGCTGCCTCAGCCTCCCAAGTAGCTGGGACTACAGACATGCACCACCATGCCCAGCTAATTTTTTCTATATATTTTTAGTTGGCCAATTAATTTCTTTTTATTTTAGTAGAAACGTGGTCTGGGCTCAAGTGATCATTCCGCCTCAGCCTCCCGAGTAGCTGGGACTACAGGCATGGGCCACCATGCCCGGCTAATTTTTTCTATATATTTTTAGTTGGCCAATTAATTTCTTTCTATTTTTAGTGAGGACAGGGTCTCATTCTCGCTCAGGCTGGTTTTGAACTCCTCTTGACCTTGAGCAATCCTCCCACCTCAGTCTCCCAGAGTGCTAGGATTACAGGCGTGAGCCATTGCGCCCAACCTTAAAGGGTATTCTTAGTGTAAAAATATATTAAGTCTGCCATACAGAATGGGCTCCAGTTTAGTATGAATCCATTCATGATAAGCAGGAAGCATTTTCTCTCTCATATGCAAAATTTCATTATATTCAATTATGTAGCCTTTGCTGTTTTTTCATTATTTTGACTTTGCAATTTCAACCTTAGATTCTCTCACAAAGGCTGATTTTTTAATTTTTACTTACTGTGTCCTCAGTTTTAGGCCACCATCAAAAGAGTGGTCATGTTTATTCCACTTTCAGACTTCTGATTTGCCAGCATC